AATGACAATATATCATCATAACCCACAGGAGCTCTGTGAAGACATCGGCTCCCTAGACATCATGCAGCTATCCGAGCATGCCCTTGAGGGTGTCCTCCAATCGTTCGGCTCTTACGTCAGCACCATGATCAACGCATTCTCAGCCTCGTTTGAGATCGAGAATCTAGAAGGTTCTGGAAGAAAAATAGTCAAACTTGCTGAGACAGAGACCCAGCAGATTGCCCTGCTAGCAAACGCTCTATCCCTGGCAGACGAACTCTTACCACGTGCGGCCATTAAGCTCTCATCCTTCGCCAGAAATGACGAGAAGGGCTTGAAGCAGAGGGAGCTGAAGAGAAGGCTTCAGAGGCTGGTGGAGCAGCTGAGGGACAGCTTTTGCCGCCAGCATGCGCTCGACATCTCATATTCACTGAAGATGGTGGGGTTCGTTTGAATGCTGAGATGTATTTGTGCATGGATGATGGTAGAGGTGAGCCTGAATGGTTCCCATCTCCAGTTTTCCAGGTAATAATTGATCGATTTGAAGTTTGTTCTTTTATTTTTTTTTTCTTTTTCTTTCTCTGGGGAGTTCTTGAGAGAGTGAAAGATGTTAATATGATTGTGTGAAGCAAAATAAATGGTATGTTGTTAAAGTGGTTCTGGAGAAAATTGACAATACAGTGACTGATTGCTGTAATGTGAAGATATCCAGAATGATTATTTTTCAAAATGAAAAAAGAAAGGAATAGTACAGCCTAGAGAATAGCTTCCTTTTAGAATTATTATTACATTCACGTAATTGAACTTTGTTGAGGACAACAAACACATCAGTTAGTTTCTGTCAAATGAACACTCCAAAATTGGACAAACACAGAAGGCCGTCCCTAAAGTTAAACTATCTGAAGAAGAAAACTCGAAAGATGTTAGAATATTTGTGTATATGTTTTATAGTTAGATTATTCATTATTGTGCATATCTTCTTATTACATATTGCTTTGATTTATCTTTCTATGGTAGGTACGTTGTATGTAGTCGTTCCATATTGTATTTTGATTTTTTTCCCCACTATAAATACTGGAAGTTTATACTACACCATACACAATAAGAATCAATAAGAAATTGTCTTCTCCTTCATCTGATTTTCTCTGTTCTCTCTAAAAGAAAAAAAAAAGTTGTTGTTTTGATACAACTCTCTCATTATGGATTCTAAAACTAAATATGTTAGCACCAATATTATGTTTTTAAACTCTGCGAAAGAGATTTTGGATGCCTTAAATGCTATGTACTATAACGAAAAGAACGCCTTATATGAGAATTTATTTTATCTTTGTCAAGAGGTTGCTTTGTTAGGATTACTTTGCATCACTCAAGGGGACAAGGTGCTAAATGTTGTTATACCATCCAATGCTATGTACTCTAACGAAGAATCTTATATGCACAATAATCTTACTATAGAATATATACACAAATATTCTTAAAAAAATATAAAAACAAATAAGGAACAGCTATATTTCAAAATACATTAGCAGTGTGGCCTTTGTTTTTTTTACCAGTTACACCATGCAAAAGTGGGTATCTGATAAAAAAAACACAAAGCTTTCTGACACAGTTTGTGATTTTGAAATAATTGGAGTTCTTTGTATTCTAACACAGTGGTTAACACTGGACATATTCAGGAACTATTTGTAAAATTGACAAGAATAGCCAGCATTGCATCTGATATATTTGTTGGAAGGGAAAGGTTTGCCACCATTCTCTTGATGAGATTAACGGAAACCGTTATCTTATGGTTTTCCGAAGATCAAAACTTTTGGGATGAGCTCGAAACTGGGGAGAGGACGTTAGGACCTCTCGGACTTCAACAGGTTTCAATTTTCGTACCATTTTCAAATTTATTTCCATATTTATCGTTAATGTTGTTCAGAATGCATCAGAACTTCTCAGATGGATATGTGATTGTGGCAAAAAAAGATATGAACCCTTTTTTTTTTTTTGCAGTTCTATTTGGATATGGAGTTTGTGATACTTTTTGCATCTCAAGGACGATATCTGTCTCGTAACCTGCATCAAGTGATGAAGAACATAATCGGTAGAGCTATTGAAGCCGTCCAGGCAAAAAATATCGATCCATACAGGTTTTTATTTATTTTATGTCCTTGCTAAATTAATACATGCACAGTGATAAAACTGCAAATCCTAATTCACGCAGGACAGAGATTTTGGACCAAACACTCAGAATATTGGGCAGTCACTGTTATATTTTGCAAAAACCAAACTACAAAGTTTTAGGTTTTACGTAGTCACAAGGCTTTTGGAATGTGTACAAGATATTTGCTGCCAACCTGATGTTACAGCACTATTTTTGCAATATTGAATGTTCTTCCCTTTCTTTTTTTTTTTTTTTTTTTTTTTTTTTGGATTTCAGTGTGTTGCCCGAGGATGAATGGTTTGCTGATGTTGCCCAAATCGCTATAAAAATGCTGATGGGCCATGCAGACTTTGAAAATGCCGAGCGCGACATGAACAGTCCTACAACCTCAATGTCGGCAAGATCTGTGTCATCAGCTCATTCTCACGGGAGCTCATAGAACATCAAAAGGTTTCACTGTTATAAAAAAGAGAGAGAAAAGAAAGAACACGACTTCATATACTCCATAAGTAGACTGGGAATATGCTTCAATATTTTCAGTTCCTCGATTTTTTCTGTTTTAGGGCATCCAAACTCTTATTTATCTGAAGCGTCACTGGATTTCTTCCCCTCATTAACACAAACCTAAGAGTTTATTTTTCTTTTATTTTCTTTTCCTTTTTGGTATATTTTAAGTTTCTCCTTTTCTTAGTAAGTAGTAAAGTGCACATGGTGGCGCATGCTTTTGGCGGATTAAGTTGAGGACGATATATTAATTAATTCATTAAACATATCATTGCATTAACAAATAAAATGTAGAACAAATGAGTTCCTAATATTTTTTTTTAAATAACATAATATGTTCTAATATAAAGAGAATGAAATAACATATTACAATTTCAACAAAAATATATAGAAAATGAGTCCCTTATAAAAAAAATGAATCCCTTATAAATCCCTCCTATATATAATTTCTGAATGTGTTAAGTCTAAGTGGCAGACAGAGCCGGTCCAGGCTCAGGGCGACCTGGACTACGGCCCAGGGCCCGCAATTAAAAGAGGGGCAACATTAATTTAGTATACTTTGTATATATTTATGGCCCAAATAATAAGATTCAGCATAAGTCCACTAATAATCTACACTCCTGGCCCAAATAGAAAGGTTCGCCACTCCACTAGACTAGACTCTAGTCCACTAAAAATAATATACACGGTCCTACACATCAAATAATCTCAGCACATTTTATGAGTGAATGTTAGCGAAAAATATATATATATATAAAATTAAAGCCCCAAATTAACTAGACTACTCCGTCTCTGCAAACAAGAAGGAAGAGTGCGGCTGGTATTTATCCTCCATTCTCCAAATTTCGATCTTCTTGCGTCGACTTATCATTTTCCCCCTATCTCTCCCATTCCAAAATTCCAACGTTCAAGGTAATTAATTTTATAGATTATAAATAGTATTTTCAATCTTTATTTTTCATACTCAGATTCAAATTCAATCCATATTTTTTAATCTATTTCATGTGCTTCAGTCATATTCATCACTCGACACTCATCGGCAAGATTGAACCTTTTCTTTATTTTGAAAAAAATTGATCAATTAAAATTTTTTTGGCCCTCTCATTGATGAAAAGTCGGCTATCCGTTTGTAGTCTACCACGCCCGGCCCGTTGTCCACCTCACCCGGCTCGCCGTCCTCCACAACCGGGCCGAACTTCACCGCCGTCCACGGCTTCCGGCGACCGCAGCGAAGTGAACAAAAAGGGGATCTTTTGATTTTTATATTCTTGATTTTTAGTTTGATATCTATTTTCTAAATTGGCTATTTATGTTAATTTCTTTGCTTGCTGTGATTTTATTTGTTTACTTGTTCTGATAATTTATTTATTTTTTTGTTTGATTCAACATTTGACTAGGCACATATTGTATGATTAGTATATTTTTATCATACTAATTTTTGGGATTACTTTTTGTTTGTGATTTCTATTTATGTGTTTAGGATAAATTGTGATAACTGTTAATTTGTTATTGACTTGTTGGTTTGATAATTTGATTATTAGAAACTTAACTATCTGGACATCAAAAGAGGGAAAAAAAAGAAAGAAAATGAAGTTATAATTGAGTCGTTAATAGGTTCAATAGATAAAATTATTCTTAAAAAGAATAAGAGTGATGTTACAATTAAAAGTAACACAGATTGAAGATAATCATACTGAAGTTGAGTTGATAAATGATGAAGAAAATATAACTAATAATGATGAGAATGAAGGTACCAATAAGAATCACAATGATAAAAATGAGGCTATAGCTTTTGAACTTGTTGGTGAAGAGAAAAAGTTTGTAAAAGAAGTACTTGGGGGCATATTTTTATATTTGACCCAGGGCCTTATAGTTTCCAAGACCGGCTCTGGTGGCAGACTTCATGCATCATGATCCTATTTGTCATAATTCTATATTTTGGATTGATACATAATTAACTTGGATGCCATGTCAAATGTCAATAAGCATGGTTATTTTCATATTATATTAAATATTTTCTTTATTATTTTCATAATATATTAAATATTTTCTTGAATATAAAATGAATCCAAAAAATCCAATCATTTTTAACTCAACCATTTTTTTTAACTCAACCCCACTATCATTAATTTTATCAATATAATTAAATAATATCAATCAATCATTCTTACACACAACATCAACCTTAATTCACTATTCATCAACTCACATAATTTTAACTAACCATCACATCACATCTTCTCTCTCTTACTTTTACATCAAATTAATTTTAATTATTATATTTTAAATATTATTTTAATTTACCCACTAACAACTAACTATACCAACTTTTTCAAATTTAACCAACCCAAACCAAAAAATCCAATCAAAACCAAAAATTTTTATATCCTAGCATGCAATAATCTGGATTTGTTCAATACAAAAAATTTCCCATGGTCCCTGTATTAAGCTCAACCCTGAGGATCACAAATTACAATAATCCAGCAAAAAATAATACAAACATTGACGTCATATTATGCGAAAACTCAAAATCCCAACACACCCCTTTCTCCACTTTGAAGAATTACAACCCAATAGATTTCTCAAATTTTTGGATTTGGTTGAGGAAGATCCAAGTCATCTGCAGGGAACCAAAAAAGGAATCAAAGTCAAAGAAAATAAATAAAACCAGAAGACTTAAAAGGTTTACAAAATAATGCATCCAAGTCAGATGGAAAGGACATATATTCCACAAAAGACAGAGAGAGAGATAAGGAGAATGTACCATGACATGAGGGGCAATCCTAACACAATACACTGGAAAACCAGTGTAGAATTTGAAGGGTCCACCAGCCTTGAGGGTTTTCATGGCACAATCCAGTGAACCAGTGTAAGGATATTTCCCAGCAGCATCTGGCTGCATTTTCTGTATTTGGGTCTTCACGTAATCAAATGGCAAACTACAGGCTGCAGCGAAAAATCCTGACACGGTACTGGCCCCTGAAAACAGGAAACAGACAGGAAAATCAAAACTTCATGCCAAGAAAATAAATAACTAAGAGTGCATACACTACAAACCACAAAAAATAAAATGCATTTGTCCTGTATTTGTATATATGTTGCAAAACTAGTCCTGTAATCTTTCAGATTGCAATATTAATCAAGTCGAATTTAGTGTGTTTTCTTCACTTTTTTGTTTCCTTTAAGAACTGGAGCTTGCAGTTCTGTTACAGTGAGTTCAGGGTGGTGCAAACTTGAATAACCCTAATTTTCGAAAAGCCATTGAGAGAATAACAAAAAAATAATTGTTATTTCCAGTGAGAAGAACTGTCGCAAACTCACAACACTAATATTGCAATCATGAGATTTACAAGACTAATAGTCATACCTTGTAGTCACAACACCAATTTTGCACTTTCCCTTCATAAAAAAAGTATAACAAGTCAGCATTAATTGGATAAAATCTCACCTACTACTGTAGTAGCCTCTCCAAAACCAAGAGAGTCCTTGAAAAACTCCACACTTTGGTCATAAGAAGCAAGCATACCCATATTAAGGGCCATAGCCCTCACAACAGTTGGGCCAGCACCTTTCCACAGAGCTAAAACGCCTTCATCAGCAATGATACGAGAGAGTGCATGAAATGCATTTGTGTAGTTACGTCTTTGGGCAGCAGGCAAAGTGGCATCCGCCTGCATGCGGATGAGCGCCAAATCAGCAGGACTGCCCACACATGCTCCAATTGCTCCAGCTGTCAATCCGCATAGAGCCTTCTGGTAAAGAGGTAACGGTTTCCCATCATTGGCCTCTATTGCTTTGTTCGTCAGCATCCTATTGGAGATAAATTGTATATAATACAAATGATATAAAATTCTATAATTATTATAAAGGAGATCAAGACATCTCATTTTCACGCTAATAGCCAAGAAAGCAACCAATCTGAACTTACAATATGAAAGTATTGAAATGGTTCAAAATTTCAATGACACAACACAACGATATCTTGGTCAAACTAGCTGAAAAGCTAGCTAAGCTGACCAGTTAGTTCATAGCTTATAAGTAAATTTCGAACTCACAACTAGGGGTGATAAGTAAAAAGTTGGCTGATATAATAGAAGTGTTGCATAAAATTAGCCAATACGTCAACTGAAATATAAATTCAATAGGCTTCTTGAAAAGCTACCTAGAGAAGGTTATAAGCTCCAACCTTTTTAAAAAACGTATGCTACAAACTAAGTTAATTTAAATACAAGATACTAATAAACTAACTAAATAAGTTATAAGCTAGCTTACCAAACACTCATTATCAAATTAACAATTTAGGTCAAAGAAAATTAGAGGATGTGAAAATCTGATTGCATATAAAAGGTGAACCAACGATATTTCATTAATTTAAAACATATAGCAACCTTTTCAATGACTTTATTTCACTTTGTCTACACAATAGGTAGCATATAAGTGTAAGAGAGCATAACAAGAAGTTAAAGAAACATAATACAAAATCAATTTTACACAAAATACAATCTCTTTGTCCATTATAGTATTATCTTTTTTGCAAATAGTGAATCGATACGAGATCCATCAGCTACAAGGTTTCATAAGAACTACTCACTTAAAAGATCCAAGCCGAGCAGTTGTATATGTAGCTTGTCTAAGAAGGCCAGCAGATAGACCCTGTAAAACAACTCTGAACTATTACAACGGCAACGAGGCAACTAACGCAGTAGGTGAAAAGGGTTATCAATTTGCACACTGAAGTCAATAATACCAAAAAGACCTACCTCGTTAACATAAATAAAAGTATGACATACTTCCACATTACTGAACTAAACTAAAAAAGAAAAATAAAAAAGATCACGAGAAAGAGAGATATTAACAAAAATTGTGACTGATACTTAGGCTACATGTATATAATTCCAATTATCTTTCAAAATTACAAACACCCTTTAGAGTTTTCCAACCTAACCTTTGGAGCCTTGTATATACCTAACAGATCATGTTATTGTGTTTTTGAAGGAGTGGGAAAAAGCAAATGTCTGAACAATAATTTTGAAAGATAATTGGACACTTATGTGACTAGACTAGTTCTATCCTATGATAGTTTTTGTAACCAAACATATAATCTGAAGAGAAATAGTAGCAGACACAAACGTGTGCCTTGAATGGCTAAATGAACTTAGAGAAATGGGAGCTCATCCTACATTAGATAAAAATCAATGCTTCATACCATCCCCAATTAGACTGCTACTTGGCCTGATGTTAATCAAAAGCATGAAAACGCCAAATAAGTAGTTACATATTACAAAAAAACTCATGATAAACACACCTTGTAAAAAGCCCCTAACCCCTCATTTTTAAGCATGTTTCGTGTCACATCAGCAGCTGATCCCTGGCCCAGTTGTATTCTGACCTAAAATTGACAAATAAAACTCCATAGGTTAAGATCTGCGTCACCCAGAAATTGACCATATCCATAATCAACATCAGTCCATCAAAGAATAAGAACCAACGTGGCCAAGATAAGTTCCATATTACATCATCAAACAGGAATAAGTCGTTTCACTCCAAGAACAAATTTACATCCAGCACTAGCAGAAAGTAAAAAACATCTAAAAATGAAATTGCTATGAAGACCTTCAACAAACAAGAAGTTAAAAAACAACAATAAATCATAA